GCAAACCCGAGGTGGGGAAGGATGTAGGGGACACACATTTGTCTGGCATTTGCTCTGTGCTTGTGATCTTCAACGTCCCCCACAGGGAAGTATAGCCATTCCCATTTCACAGGTGAGAAAAGTGAGGCTCAGAGCAGGGAAGTGATGTGTCCCTAAGCTCATTTCCCTCGGCCACTAGGTCCCGTGTAGGAAGCAAACTCAGACTCCATTTGAGTCCCACGGAGGTAGGAGGCTATTCTTCCCTTCTCTGAGCTGCACTTTCCTCACCCAGAAAATGGGAGTAATAGTATTTGCCTCTCTAGTGATTGTGAGACTGAAATGAGTTTATTTTGTCATTCAGCAAATATTTATCGAAGGTCTCTGTGCCAGCTCCTGCTCTAGGTCCTGAGGACATAGCAGTGAGTGAACGAGATGGGCAAAATTCGTGCTCGCAGCATCTTCTGGATGGTGCTTGTCAGGTGCTCTGCAGGGTCTGACACTTAGTAAGCACTCAATAAAGCTAACGGGGATAAGACTATAGGACTGAATTGGATGGCATATGGAACAGGCTTGGCCTTTATGAGCAGCTCACCTCAGCACTCATTCTCTACCACTATCTGTGATGGTACAGCCCCCGCTGGCCCAGAAGGACACACAGGTCCTTTTGGCCTGGGCCACATGTTCTTGGGCACCCAGCAGTCGCCAGTCTAAGCTGCCTCCCCAAAGCCAGCAGAAAACTCTGCCCCAGACAGACTGTGGAGTCAGCTGAAGGAGCCGTGGGTCTTGTCATGAGGACTCCCCTGCTGGACTGTCCCCCTCAGCTACACAGCTTCAGCTCAGCCCCACCCATCCCCTGACTCTGTCCCTGGGCCAGGCTTGAGCCTGCCCTGGAGGCTCTCCCAGCTGTCCTGATGTCCCCTCTGGCTCCTGTAGAAGCTCCCCCTTTCCACCCCTGGAGGCCTGTCTGGACACCAGCCCCTCCCCCTCCAGAGGCATCCCCAGACATCACCCCTGTGCTATTCTTTTTTCCTGACAACTGTGATATCAAATGTCAACCAGCCTCTGCTCTGCTGAGCACTGACAGGTGGGGGTGGAGGGTGGTTCTTGATAACTGAGTGGTGTGGGGGAGGGTCCTCTGGAGTCCCCCATAAGGGGCTAGGAAAGGCCTCTGCTCCCAACTCAGTGCTTCTTGAGCAAACTTCTCCGTCCCCAGACCTCGGGTTCTCTGAGCCATCAAGGAGAGGCAACTGTCTCTGCCTTCACTGGATGGTATAAGGATCTGGGGACACAGGCAAAGCCCTTTGGGGACTGGGAAAATGCTGGGCAAGCGGCAGTGGCCTCCTCTGAGAGCTGACTTTCTTCCAGGTAGGCTCTGGAAAGGGAGTCTAAGGGTGCTGAGCAGCTATGTCCATCAGACCTCAGAAAAGCCCGTCCTCCTGTCCTCACTTGCCCTGAGTGAGCTGGGACAGCTGGCACAGCGCTGGGGAAGCGGGCTCTGGCGGGCCCTGACAGCTCAGCCGTGGCAGCAGCGGAGGTGGCAGTGGCCGCAATGGCAGGGGCTATTCTGAGAGCTGGGAGGGGCTGGGAAACTGAGACTGGAGGAGGGAAGCAGCCAGGGAGGAGACGGTCCCGCCAGGGTGAGGGGAGTGTCACTGTAGCCCAGGGAGGGGGTGTTTGCCAACAGCAGGACTGTTGGGGAGCTGTGTGGTGTGTGCTCCTTACTGGCAGGGGATGGACCAGTGGAGGTATTGAGGCATGCACTGGGGTTGTTTGGGTGTGTGTGTACCAGTTTTGTGATCCAAGTAGGAGCTGAGTGGGGAAAGCACATGCCTGTGTGTGAGCGAGTGTGCCTGCACTGGAATGTGAGCATGTTTAAGCCCTGGAAAGTGTGAGCAGAAGCTAATGTGTCTGTGTGTGGAAGGGGAGGAATGCAAGGGTAAGCAAGTGGGGGCTTGTTTGTGAACAGGAATGAATGTGGGAGTGGTAGGGAGGGTAAATGCAGATTGAGAGCAAGCATGGGGGAGGGAAGGAGCGGGGAGGGGAGTAAGAGAAACCTGGGGCCAAGAACCTAGGAAGATTTGGGCCTGTGCAACTGGGGCACGAGTGGAAGGGACATATGGAAGTGTGCATGTAAGTGAGCTAGTGTGTGTGAGTGGGCACGAGTGTGTGCATGGTGAGAGCAGGTGGGACAGTGTGAGTTGTGACAAGTAGGAAGGGAAGATATGTAGAAGCAACACCAACAGTAATAAAAACAGCAAGCCTTTATTGAGCACTTACTCTGAACCTGGTGCTGATATTCATGATCTTATTGAATTCTTCAAATATCCTATGATGTCAGTGCTATGACGACACTCATTTATAGATTAGGAAATAGTGGCTTTGAGCAGTTAAGTAACTTGCCCACACTCTTAATCACTATGTTATACGGCCTCATAATGATGTGTGAGCAGGGGCCAAGTCGTGAGTAAAGAAGAATGAGTGTCCGTGTGTGGCATGGTGGGTGTGTGTGTGGAGGGGGGGCTGAGTGTACCAGATGTGGGTCCCAGAGGAGAGTCAGACAGCAGTTGTGGACACTGGGTGGGGCAAGGGCCTGAGCAGAGTCTGAGTCAGCCTGAGTCAGGGCGTCTCTGCCAAGCTGGCTTTCCAGCCCCGCAGTGGCAGCCTGTGCCAGGGCCCGCAGCTAAGGATCCTCCCAGCTCTGGTATGGCCCCCAGCAGGCCTTCATCTCACAGAGCAGGCTGGGCCAGGGCTGAAGACTGGCAAGAGGCCTTCCTGGCCTCCAGAGTACCTGAGAGGGCAGTTCCCAGTGTGGGCTCCCCAGGCAGGGAGAGCATATGAGAACTGTGGGAGGGGGACCAAGTGATTTCAGAGCCCTTGTGACTCTAAACAGTACCACCTAGAGTGTGTGTACATGTATAGAGAGGCGTGTGGGGGACAGCCAATTGTTCCCATGCCCACCCTTGCTTACTGGATGTGACTCAGGAAGATGCCACACCAGGCATTTGCAAGTTGGGCCTGCTCCCACCGTGGGGGGTGAGGAGAAGCCCCCTCTAGCCCTGCCCCCACCCCTACCCTTAACCCTACTCCTTGGGACCTCAGTTGGAAGGAAGAAACTTTTGAGAGAGTCTTCTCCCACTTCCCAGAGAACTCTGACAGTTGCCGTCTCCAGCCTCTCCAGGAGTGTGGTACTGGCTGATGGTTTGGGATTCTAGTCCTGCCCATTCTATCTGAGCAAGTCACCTCCCCACTCTGGGCCTCAGTTTCCCGATTGGCAAAAGAGAAATACTGTCCTAAAGGGACATAAGGCATTGCTGGCAGAGCAGAAAGTGGTGTGGGCAAGCAAGGAACAGAGACAAGTGTTGAGAGCTAGGGCTAGAGAAGTTGTCAGGGTTGAGTTGACATTTGGGCTGAGCTTGAGAAATGGGGGAATCTCAATGGCCTGTAGGAGGGGAAAAGGTGTTTCTAGGCAGAAGAGATACTCTGAGCAAAGGCTGGCAGGTGGTGTGGAGACTGGAGACCTAACCTAGGGCCCTGTGGGATGAGGACATGGGCTGCCCAACTTCTCAGCCAGCCCTCTCCCTCTGAGGCCATATGATCATCTGATAAACACCTGACTCGTCCACGAGCCTATGCAGTAGGAACTCCATATGTCTCTGTTCCTGCTCTTGCCCTAGTGGCCTGAACAGTGCCTGGAGCATCAAAGGTGCTCAATAAATATCTGTTAAGTGAACGAGAAGCTTCTCCCCACACAGGATGAACTTTGGGGCAAGTGCTTCTTCCAACAATTCCTGTAAGAGCATCCCACAGAGTTTAACACAGTAGTTTGATTGCAAAGTGTAGTCCTGGGCACATCATTGGGGAACTTGTTAGAAATGCCGTCTCCAGCCTCAACTCAGGCTTACCCTGTGGAGTGCAGCAACACATTTTCACAATCTCTTCAGGTTGACTCTGCTACACTTTGAGAACCGATGTTCACAGGCACCCGAAAGCCCATGAAGAACTCATCTGCAGATGGAGAATCTAGAAAGGTGGCGAAGCCTGGCCCAGAACCCAGGCATTCCTGACCTTTTCTCTTTCCCCAGCCCAGCCCAGGGCACAAAGGCGAGCTCCACCATCCGCCCCATCAGGTTTCTAAGACTTGGAAACGCCGAGGGTCCAGAGGCACGGGGCTGGGCATTCCACTCGGGAGTAGAAGGCGGGGCCAAGTGCTCTGAGTCCCGCCCCATCCCCGTTGCCCCGGGAAACCCCCAGTTGTAACAATAACCCGCTGACGCGCTTCTGGGAGGGATCCTGTCGAGTCCGTGGGCGGGACGGCCCTGCTGCGAACCAATGAGAGAGCTCAGGCCCCGCCCCTGGGCCCCCTCCCCCGGA